AAGCGGTGCTGTTTGTCGAGGCACGCTACATACCATTGCATTGAAACTTCCCAAATATTGATTTAACCATATGAAATACATTTCTGAATTACGGAAAATCGATAATCATATCAAAAGGGCTTCACCGCCATCTTGTGTTCGTATCGTATGTATTTGATAAAGATCAGCCATTCATACGTTTTACAACGAACAAATCTGTGAAATTCATTTAACCGTCCATATTGTATCAAATCTCGTCGCCATTGACCTAAGCCGTGACCTGTGAAAACGATACGAGTATTTGTACTATACATATAAACACTCTCTTTTTGTGTATATCTTGAATTTTCCTAGAGCATATTTACTTGGAATTATTATTCTTTTGAACCTTGAATTAGGCATGTCTTATGAGGTATCGTGTTTTTCTGCGAAACGGGAATGATGAATTGTGTAGCCAATGATTTTAACAGTCATCCATGCATACAGTTCCCTGAATTGCTTCTTCCGGGTTGTAGATTTTCTGTGGCCTTTTCCTATGGCTCGACTTTTTCAGGAGACCTCGCTGAATGGCCGCGCATATTTAACATGACACGGAATATCTGCGTTAGCTTCACAATCCTATACTTCATTCAAACCATACGAATTATCATGACCTAAGTCATGCTTCTCTATACCGATGTGTACTAGAATACTTACTTTTGTAACAACGTTCTTTACAGATGTCTATTTCTATGATTTTGTATCAGGCTAAACAGGTACTGAAATACTTCAAACGATGAAATCTTTGCGAAAATAAACACGTTTTTATAAGGATTAGCAATAACTGTATTGGTCAATTCTTTAACCTCCAATAAAGGTATATATGATACTGCATGTCGAATCTTTTTGACATAATATCTAAAAACATGTTTGAATTACTAAGTTATAGCTATGTCATATCTAGTCGGCTCACTGATTTGTAGTGAAAACTAACGTTCCCCAGTGTGTAGTTAATTTGACGAAAAGACGAAAACAAAAAACAAACTTAACAAAAACCGTTATTGTGTTATTGCTAATCACAGCCATCACCTGTTAAACCCCCGATTTAGCGCCAGTACCCGAGTAACTGTTTGATATTTTTTCTTTAGCCTTTTGTAACCAGACAAATGTCAGTTACTGGATTATCATTGGTCTTCGTGCCATCACCCGAGTAAAGTCGTCTCTATTGAAATCGTCATCATTCGTGTTATAATCCGATTATCACAATGTAATTACTAACGGATTATCTCAATTACTCGACTTACAATTGGATTATCGCCATTGCTCCTGTTATAACCCGATTGTTAACATCGCCCCTATTATTTACCGATTATTGTTAATGTTTGTTTCCATACTGATGATCGTAATCGCTCGAGTTACTTCCCGTATAACCACCATTTTATCACACGTACCCGTGCTACTGTTAAAGGATCTTTCGTGTTACCCCAGTGCCTTGTATTGGTGCCATATCGGTCACAGTAGAAATACGGTTTACCCACGTGTGACCGGTCACAGTAGAACTACGGTTTACCCACGTGCGACCGGTCACAGTAGAACTACGGTTTACCCACACGTGACCGGTCACAGTAGAACTACGGTTTACCCATGTGTGACCGGTCACAGTAGAACTACGGTTTACCCACGTGTGACCGGTCACAGTAGAACTACGGTTTAGTACATGTGTCGTGTCATTGAATCTCCGGTTCACGTTTATCATGTAAACATCAATTTGGTAATGGATTTCTTCCCCCACTTCCCCGTACACACATGCTGTAAAATCAGCACTTGTCATTGTCATTTTCTACGATTTCACTCTTTGCCAAATGACTCTATGCTGTGCAATTTTCCACTGTCCTCGTTCTTTTCTCTCACCTCACTCTTTGCAAAAAGGCTGCGCATTTTGCCGTTTCACTCATTGACTTACCAGACACACTTTGTCTGTCAAATTGAGCGTTTGAGCGTTTCCTTTTTACCTTATAACTTTTCTTAATACTTCACAAGTGGTAAGATCTTTTGCAACACTACTTGTTTCTAAAACAATCACGATTGTATCCTGGACCGTAGATTACTATCACTTCACTATACACGGTGTGTTTTACATCTATTTTATATTCTCTTTTTGGAAGCTATTTTAACGTTTTAGAGTGGAAAATCTTTCTTTGTATGTTGCTTTTCAATCGATGCAATTAACATGTGTTATTTTGAAACGGTATTCTTTATAGATATATTTAATGGTATTGGTAGCAGTATTAAATGGGTAAGTTGTTGAACAAATAAATGCAATGAAGATTTATTGATAAACCCGACTCATAGTCATGTTTTACTTGTTGTTAGAAACAGAGGTCTTCATCAACGAATAGACATCAGCGTATTTGAAGCTTTTCGAATTAAAATATGAATCATAGACAAGATAAAAAACAATAATTTGTAAATTGTATATGTGTACTGTCGTGAGTTATTCAGAGTCATTTACGATTGTTAATTAAGCTATACATCTCGATTCACAAGATCACAACATCATGTACGAGTATTTGTTCTCTTGCTACAAAGCTGTCGTGATGGTGCGTCGTCTCTCAGTCGTCTGCCTTCCGTCGTTCGTTAGTTTGTCTCCCGTTAACTTTTATATTCAATGACATCCCCTCCCCCTCCCAGTTGTAAATCAGAATTTAACATAGTGTTATAAAAATAGGCAATGGGGATTAACAATTATACAAAGAAAATGGCTGGCCTTTCTGGGGGCTAAAAATAGGCTGGTTTTCATTTAAAGAATTCTCCCAAAGTACAGAGCAGGGCCCAGTTGTTCAAAGGGTGATTAGCTTAAACAGTGATTAGCGCAAATTTCAATTTTTGTGTTACTTTGAAATATAACCATCAACTGAGTTAAGACTTTCAATATCTCAAGTATTTAGTAGAGTTATTGTATGTGTAAATTTAGAAGCGTTTTCCTTGTATATTGACGAAATTATTAAAGGTTGAAAATTGTCGTTAAACAGTGATTAAGCTAATCATCTTTTGAACAACTGGGCCCAGATCTTAAAGGGCTGATCATATGGGGGCTGAGGGATGGACTACAGGTGTAGAATTAGCTGATTTATTTAAAGGGGCATTTTATCCCAAATAACAGTGCATATTTCAACCATTTTGTATAGATAACAGGCTTATCCAATGGCATCGAAAGATGTACAAAGGAAGGGCTGACATCCCTGGGGTGAGGTCCTGAGTAAAAGGAGGGATATTGGCTGATACTCTTTAAATGACATCGACCATTCTAGCTGGCAGGTTAGAACCAATTTATAAGGGTAGCATAATTGACCCAAAGGCATTGAAAGTGATATATACAAATAAAGGGGCTGATACTTATTCAGGCTGAGGGGCAGAGTCAAGGGAGATCAAATTGGTGGATTCTCTTTAACGACACCTCTTGCGAAACTACTAGACAGGTTTGAAAATATTGTTGTTGCAGCACACTTGCCCATGAGGATAAAAACTTATGTAAAGCCAATGTCTAGAATTCTTTGGAGCATCCCTCCAAAAAAAGAATACTGTGAAGATTTTATCTTGATTTTCATCATAGCCAGATGAGCGATTCAGGGCCCTTGGTCCTCCTCTAAGTTAAACTCCAGGTCTCCATTCAGCAGATGACATTCAGTTTCCTTATTGTTTATGAAAAACGTGATTTAATTGAAGTCGCAAATGATTTATTTTACTGAAATTAATTTCGATGAAGTTTGTATCAGGACAACACAACATTTTTTCCCCCGTTTGACCTAAACGTACGAATTGTATCACAAGCCTTATATAAACTAGAGTATTGTATAGTGACTTGGCTAGAGGACGAAAATCATCTACATCATTATCATCACCATCATCATCATCTGATTTGCTCTAACAGTGCGTGAACGTACATGCATTTTGCTGTTTTTCTACGACCTATATAACGTGCACATGTACATTGTATACCATTGTATCTATATTAACCACTACTAGCCGACTAGCAACATTTGCTCCGTCATAATATCCACTGTCTCGTATATAACGCCTGTTGAGCATTCTGACCAGTCTGCATAACACGTAAATTTCGAGGGAAAGTGCAGAACGCCAAAATGAAGTCAGTGTTGTGATTAAAACAGTTTATAAAAAGTTAGTTTTTTTATTTCAAGATTTTAATTAAATATTTCTGAATTCTTAACTGATATGATTGCAATAATGAGTCCACATATTAAATGCACCCACCATTGTCAGAATAGGAGTCATGGCCAATCTAAATTGACACTCTTGAAAAACATAATCTTACAACAACTAATGTTACTACTAAAACGCGACACTCAGACACCAATAGAAAATAGAGATAGAGAAAGTTAGCTTGCAGCTATTTTCTTACTCCTTGAAATTAATTTTAATTGCATCTCCTGTTTCAAAATGGTAACTTGAAGAAAAAGAAATCGAACATTGTCTAAAATGAAAGCATAAGTTTGACGAATGCAATGTTAAAAATTTGTGAAATGTGGAATAAAAATAAAATACTTTATTATTTTTCTCAAAAACATGTATTACAGTTATTAGTTGAAAAGAGATGCAAAAGAAGGCCAAGCAAACCTGACGCGAAATATTCGATCGAAATGAATATTAAAACATGATCGTATCTGGTATTTCATTTTGAAAATGCATGAATACATCAGCAACAAAAATGCAGCATTGTTTTTTTCAAAACCTATTCTAAGATGCGATAGCAATATCATAAATACATGCCCGATATAATCCTGTTTGATTATCTTTACTGTAATATCAGTAACCTTTAACAAGGCGACTCTCGTGGACTGTTAATCAACCTCACTGATAAAAAAAACAAACATTTTGTAATTAAAATGTTACAAATGATGCAATAATTACTGAATGTGATTGGTCAGATAAATCTGCTGTACTCGTTGTGATTGGTCAGTTTGCCCGTGCATGGAGACCGTGCTTTGTGCGCTAACACTGTTGTTTTTTGTTTTGTTGTTCAGGCCGCAATGGCGAAGAGAGTATCCCAATGTTGATGCTAAACCATACGTCAGACAGGGAGATGGATTCTATGCCCCGCACACGTCCCCTTAACACTGTGGAAAAGTCTCCGCCCCGACTCGTGGAAATAAGTTCCAATCCCGGCACTCCACTAAAAGTTACTGAAATTAAGGTTTCTGGTCAGTATAACAAGTATTTTCTTCACAAAACAAACGAAACCCCGTTAAAGTCCTGCCCACTCTGTGGTACTGGGAGATACCGTCCCGTCAGAGACTGGGATCACCCTAACCGACAGATATTCTCTTCATCACTCTGTTTCTGTTGTAAAACGTGTGGGCTTCTTGCTTTTGTTTGGACACCCTGTGTGTGATTCGCGTTCCCTCCCTTTCAGTAGTTGAACTAGCTTTACGTGTTATTCTATTTATGCTATTCGTGCCTTTCCGGAACAAACTGATTTCTACGAGTCTTTTAGTATAAATTACCGTTGTTATCCTTTGTGTTACTTTCGTCTAACCCTCTACATTTTAGCTTTCGTTTCAGCCTCATCCATGGTTTACCAAAGCGAGCAAGCGAACGATCATTCGGAAGACTACTCTGTTTGCAAGGTCTTTCGGAAGCTTTCTTGCATCTGCGGAGTTAAATAATTATTAGTTACCTCTGTACGGCACAATCATCCTTTTTATGATCGTCATCATGGTGATATTAATCGATCGGAATGATATCAGATTTTATCTTTAGTTCAAAGAATAAATAAATGTCATCGCTCACACGCTCACAACAAACACTCATACAAATATATACAAAAACATTTTTAAATATTCAAAATTGTGTCAATTCCTGAATATTTCTCCAAAGAATACAAAAACGCTTTTTTCGGTTTCGAAACCAAACTGATACAAAATTGAAGATTAAAAAATAGATTTAATCCTTTATATATATATATGAACATATGAAAATATATCAATATATTAAGTATCTTACAAAGTACTACACAAAATAGAATGCACTACCAATCTTAGTCTGATCGCACTGCTTAAAAAGCTTCCAAGCATATCTTTGGTACTTTGAGTTGTCCCTGAAATGTATTGTTGAGTGTTTCCTCCTTCAGTTAATATCATTTTAAACTTGAACGACTGTTTTTATGAACAGCCATCCATGAACGTTTGTTATAAATCTCTATGAACACATGTTGATATCGATCTGCTGAACTTATCCTTTAATGATCACAAATTCACTTCAACATTATTGGTCTTTTGAACATATGACGTCGTGAATTCACGAATTTCTGTTCGTATGAATGAATGTTTCGTGAAAACACGTCCTTAAGGTTATATATCCATTGGAAATTCAATTTTGCTAATTTTTTGAACGTGTTCGTGTGAAAAGTATTTCTTGTCCGAAACCTCGTTCTTTTCAGCAATTTAGTGCCTTGCTTCATAATCATTATATAGTTCAATGTACGCTGTGTGGCGCAAGTCATTACTCCCAATACCCCCCACGAAGGGGCAATAGTGTATAACGCCCCTGCATGTTGTTTTACTTATCGTTAATATATATATATATATGTGTGTGATACCTTGTGCATTGTGATTTCTCCCTGCAGTAAGTTTCTCCGTAATACTCGTAATACCTGTATTACATAGCCTACTAGTATCTAGCGGTTCGACCGGAAGTATATATGTTTATGAACGGTGTCAGGATGTACTTTGTTGTATATGAATGCAGTTTGTGACCATTTGTGCACATCTTTTTGTACGTGAATGTCATTGGAACCCGTGGTTTGTGCAAAAGTGATAATTATAATCCAGTACTATATTGCATTACTCATCAAATGGGACTGTGAATATGAAACTAATTTATTGAATTAGACACTAATGATTTGAATATGACTTTACACATTTGAATTGGACACTAATGAATTGAGTAAGACTCGTTTAACTTGAACTTCACTCTATTAATGTGAATTGGATTCTAACAACTTGAATTTTACATTAACTGATTGAATCAGTGAGTATGGATAAACTTCTGACACTGTTTGTATTTTGCTGGTTTGAAATTCAACCGCGATGTTAACTCTGTATAGTAACGTTTGCTATGATATTAATATTTTCTGGCTGATCATGAAAGGGTAAACTATTTATATGACAGATCTAAAAATATAAAGAATTGTAGAAGATTTACAAATTAAACGATATATTTTGGCTGCGTTTAATTATAAAACATTGTGGTTGAATTACAAGTAAACGAAATATACTAATAATTTGTAGATTTTGATAGTTAGTGAAGTGAATATCAAAATAGTTTTTGATATAAAAAAAGAGATTAACTCTGGCCAGTACATCTCGAACTTTAAACATTGGACATGGAATCATTTGAATGAATTGATGAGCTCTCTTCATCCCATCACTTCTAACGACGAACTTGGACTGCTCCAAATTAAAGTAAAGCATACTCCATCGTTTCAATACAGGAGTGAATGTCGGAATGAGTTAATTCTGTATAAATCTAAAGCTGCGACACGATATTTTACCTGTCAGTACTCAGGCCCTACCTTCGGAACGTAAACACATGGTTATACACTATTATGAATTGTAGAGACGCTCAGATGTATCATTCCAATGTTTCTATAGAAATAGCTAGTCATCTGTGTTAAGTATTACAGAACGCCTCTATTTTTCTGTATATAGCATATCTTATATATACATAACTTCCTATATCCCACTATCACTGTTCTGCAATGTTTTTGTTGTGTTTTAGGGACATTTTCGTATGAAGCAAAACGGGACAATTGCTAACTTGGATTGCACATCATTTTGTATAAAAAAATATTTATGATATCCAAAGTTTTATAAAATATTGGATAACATAAGGTTAAAGATAACACGTGTTGTACGTTGGTTATCTTTATTCGTAGAATTTGACAGTGATAATTGCTTTCTTGACGATTTTGCTGAAAATTTTGTCACGGATTTACCAAGTGAACCATTTATACTTTGTCAATATGCTTGCTTCATTAGGAAATTCCAGTAATTGTGGGGTTCTGATTAGGGTGTTCATTTCAAATATATTTCATTTCAGCGAATCTCTTTTTTAGCGTTCTTGTAATTATACCTTTCCTGAACGTGAGTATAATAAGAAATGCGCGCTTTAAACACTACTGATATATCAACAGTCTGTTTAAACATATCAGGTTAGGGGCAGACGTCTTTCACATGTATCAATTTGTAAACACACCACTGTGAGGAAATAAATCAGCATTATATAGCAATAAATATAAATATTTTGCAGAACAAACCCCATAGTTTTACCTTATTAAAAAAAAACATATATATCCACCCAAATGCGTTTGCATAGTCAAATATATTACCATTTCCTTATTATAACCAAAAACCGATTTTCTCAAAATGTGCATATTTTTGCTATATAATGCAATTTAATGTATAAATAGAAACAGTGTGCTTATGCAATACTCTGTAGTATATACTTGATTCTGATTGGCCTGTTTTTCGTTGACAGATACCGGGGGAGCTACCACGGCTTTGTCCAGCCTCATTATGGCACCGAGTGCTAATCTTAATGCAAATTCTAATGTTGTTACCAATAGCAACGCTTTACCAAATTCAGTTCCAACGACGATACCCTCAATATCACCTACCACAGAGAAAAAAAGTGAGTAATTTTATCCGACACACAAATGTCCAACTTAAACAATTATAACTATAGACTAGATATTCCATAAGTACAATGGTCAACGTGTATAATTATCTTTTGTTCAGAATGGGAATCTGATGTCTAGGGGGCGGAAGGGGGCTTGCAAAGGTGCCAACAGTTGTAAAAACATGTCTTATACTTTGAAATTATTTTCATATATATGTAAGACCCGCCTTATATTCTGAATCAGCAAGTACAGGTGTTACATGTTTATTTGGTCAGGCTTAACCTCTTAAAGGCCCAATAAAGGTCCATTAAGGCGATATTCTGAAACATTCCGAAGGTTTTTAACTCAAGTATGGTAAATATCGAAGGTTTTGTTCTTTGATATATGCGGATAGCATGAGCTAAATATGTAGTTTTGTTCAAATCAAATGTTAGAAAATGATGCTTCTCAAAGGGTCTTAATTTTAACGTAGAAAGTCACTGTTACATACTAGACTATACCCTTAACTCTAACACACATCACAAGTATAATGTGTAAGGTTACATGTACCCTTAACTCTTACACAAATCACAGGTATAATGTGTAAGGTTACATGTACCCTTAACTCTAACACACATCACAGGTATAATGTGTAAGGTTACATGTACCCTTAACTCTAACACAAATCACATGTATAATGTGTAAGGTTACATATACCCTTAACTCTAACACATATCACAGGTATAATATGTAAGGTAACATGTACCCTTATATCTAGTACATATCACAGGTATAATATGTAAGGTTACATGTACCCTTTAACAAAAGTCACTGTGTACAGTAGCAGGTACCGACCAAATCGACTGTTACTTGAGATTGCATGCCTGAAACAACTGTGTTGTTGCCTAATCAATGAAAAATTAATGCTGTTAGACATTGCCCGCATATTTAGTTTCCTCAAACCGTAACATGATGGTGTACTCTACTGTACCTGTTGTATTGTTTAATTTTCATTGGACTAAATTTGATTGTTTGTTGTACACCGATGATGCAGGGCAAGTGAGCTTATAAAACATTTTCCTTTAAAACGCTACTTGTCCTGAACGGCTTAGTGGATTTTAACTAAATTTGGTCCGGAGCATCATTGGGCCAGCTCTCAATTTTGTATGAACGGTGGGTGCCAATAGTGGCCCCCCTTTGGGGCAGATGAGCGGGGCCCAATAGGATAAATAGAGGTAAAACCTTTAAAATCCTTCTTTTTCCATAGGGATTAAGGGATTTTATCCTTATTTAGTCTGGAGCATCCTTGATCCAAAGGGTCTCAATTTTGCTTAAACGTTGGGTGTGACACACGAAATGCCAATGTAATACCGTCTCACTTTGAATGTTTATGATGTAGTGATCCAGAATTTGAAGAAAACCTCAAAAATTTCCCAAAACCGTGGTGTCTTTTTTGTGGTTTTGGCTTATATCAACTAGAATGGGGATAACCCTACTCTATCCCGATCACTTTCCGTCCGTCGTCGTCCGTCATGCGTAAACATTTTACATGTTCAGCTTTTTCTCAAGAACCAGTGGATGGAATGTTTTCAAACTTGGTCAGAATCATCCTTGGTAGATAAGGCTAAATAATTGTAATTGGGAATCCTACCCAAACCCCTGTGGCCAGGGTGGGGCCCAAAAGGGAAAATTAATATTTCAAATATCTTCTTCTTCAGATTCAGAGGTACTACAGTCAATTTATCTTCATGGATGGAAAGATCATCAGGGGCTTTTTTTAAATTGTAAATTACAGGACCCCCGAGTGAATTATTCGTCCTCCCTTGGGAAGGGGGTAACGTTTACTATAGTTTATATAGGGAAACAACACGGTTTTAAATAGTTTTAAATTGTAGAAATGGGATTTCTACCCAACCCTAGGGGCCAGGGTGGGGCTCCAAAGGGAAAATTAACCAATGTTTCAAAAATCTTCTTCTCCAGATTCAGAGGTACTACAGTCATTTTCTCTGCATGGATAGAAAGATCATCAGGGGCTCTATTTAAATTATAAATTGCAGGACCCCCAAGCTATCCGTTCTCCCTTGGGTAGGGGGTAAAGTTTACTATAGTTTATATAGGGAAACAACATCTTTGGGTATATTTTGACAATTTTCTGTAGGAAATTATTCTTACTTGGTGAGAATTATCCTTGGAGGAAGATGGTTTTAAAATGTAAAATTGGGATTCCCACCCCAACCCTAGGTGCCAGGACGGGGCCCCAAAGGGAAAATTAACCAATATTTCAAAAATCTTCTTCTCCAGACTCAGAGGTACTACAGTCATTTTCTCTGCATGAATGGCATGATCATCAGGGGCTTTATTTAAATTGTAAATTGCAGGACCAATATTAACCTATTGTTTGTTCAAATGTTGCTCTTGTTAATCGATTTTGAGTTCGAGTTACGGTTTTGTTGACAAAACGGTTACATCTAGGCTTACATGAACAAGCGATCATTTGTGATTCCGCTTTTACTTGGATTTAACCTAGATAGGATGTCGTTGATGAAGCAAATGTGTTACACCTGGTCGTATTCTCTTTGTACTGCTGTCATGTAAATCTTACCTTAGTTCATATCGTTTTATCGATATTGAGCTCGAATTGTATTTTGTTGACATTTTTGTTTTCTCTTGTTATTTTTCCAAGCTTTGTGAAATATTAAGTAAAACTGAAGAATATATAAAAAAAAAATATACAACTTTTGATACAGCGCCCTATCTAGCTAACATAAAACACGTTAAAGCACTTTACAGTACAAAGATAAACAATTAATACAATTAGCATATACATTAATCAATAAAAAAATATATGAGGAATTCGCAGAAGCTGCCTTATAATTTCTAGTCCTATGCCACCTTGCTAATATCTCCCTATGTGTGTATGCCTGCGTTTGTGCTGGAGATGTATTATGTAAGAAGAAAACAAAAACCGTTATCGATGCTAGTGATGTGATTAATATAAAGCTAGTACTTGAATTTCTTCAGTAAAATTTTCAAACGACGTTTAATTGACAACTTACAATCGTTTCTTATAAACGTGTTCATCGGGACAATATTATCATGTATAAAAGTACATAAAAAATTAATGCATTTTTCTCAACTTTAAATAAACTTGTTTTCTTTTCTTCAGACTTACTCAAAAGTATACGAGGAGACGGCGCTGATGTGGGTAAGGCGCCCTCTGGCGGAACGACAGCAAACAATACAAGCATTGAACAACGATCAGCCAACCATTCTCCCTCCTCTACTCCTCCCACCACAAACAACCTCGTAGCCGTGAACACGTAACCACTGTGGACCAGCACGAGTAGCGGCAACTGGGCGCACAACAGCAGTGCACATGCGTAGAGGAAGTGGAAATGCTTTACAGGAAGTTATAATATCAACTGTTTACATAGCAGTGGTTATGCTTGATGGCAGTGTCGCATAAAATGCAGACAAGTGAGTGAACGTTGTATTATAATAAAACGCACGTGCATCCCTGTAATATCGCCCATGAACCTTTAGCAGTGCGCATGTCCTTCGGCGGTGTGCGCGTGACACTGACCCTGCACGCAGACATGTAAGTCACTGTCTAAACCGTTTGAAAACGAAACGTGCCACAAATGTGCAACAAAATGAAAGATAATATTTCTATGGAACGTTGATTTGATATTTCGTAATGTACATTCGAAACCACATATCTTGCGTTACCATAGAAATGAACTAAATGTATGAGGCCTCCACTTTGAGGAAATGATTAATCCAGGAACCAGTGTCCTTGACTCTGCAACAGACATAACTGACCCTCGGTGGAAGGTTTGAATGTTGCTCGATTGAAGCGAAACAAATCAAGTCCGTTATTCGTGATGGCAGACGTTTCAATGCAATGAAGTTACACTGAGAAAGCAACGAGTTTTGGAAACATTTAGCCACTGATGGACAGATTAGTGTCAAGCCTGTATTACCAACCACACAATCAGGCTGTGGACTAAGTAGACCGATAAACTACTGCCCGTGTAGTGTGGCCTACTGGACTTTCCTTTTGGATGTTTCCTCCTGAGAAATGTATGCTTGGTCTAGCACACAGCAGACTATGCTTGGTCTAGCATACAGCAGACTATGCTTGGTCTAGCACACAGCAGACTCTACACAGAGTCTTTTTTAATCATGATTATTTCCTTTTTTATGACTACGTCACCCATTCACAGCTCAGTATAGCAGTGTTGTACAGGTTTGTCACTCGTTATTACGTCAGTGAAACCAACACATACATCGTTTTGCCAATATGCATATTCAAATATCAGTCACGACTTAACTATATATATATCGCATCCTTACTGCTCACTTCCGAACGACATACCGTTATACTGTGGTGTTACGTTCTACCTTCCATCACCTCCGAACGACATACCGTTATACTGTGGTGTTACTTTCTACCTTCCATCACCTCCGGACGACATACCGATATACTGTGGTGTTACTTTCTACCTTCCATCACCTCCGGACGACATGCCGTTATACTGTGGTGTTACTTCCTCCGGACGACATGCCGTTATGCTGTGTGGTAACCTCCTACTGTCAATCATTCCGTTGCTGTGACAACGTCCCCGATATACATATATTTAAACATTATAAACTTTATGGCATAGTACTAAGAACGTCAATTATATGACAACGCCTGAGAATTAATGCACTGACCCTTGGATCGTCCATAATTCTGAACGTGTACTCGCAAAAATCTACGCTTAGATCGGCACTGAAAGATAATATCCTCCCCACAGGCACATGGGTCTGTTTACTGTGTGTCCATAACTGAACACTAACAAAAGCAGTCTAGTTATTCTCCTACAAGCAGTGTTAAATTGTACACAATGAAGACAGTATTTACATCAGAATCAATGGAAGTAGCTTACCTCCTTAATATGACAATGTTATGTGAAACTTCAATTAATGTTATTCACACACCACATGTAAGCCTGAGCAACAGACATAGTTTGATATTCATTCCCGTTTGGACTGTGATTTCATTTCAATCTTCTTTTTTAAAGAATATCAGTGGCAAAATGAATGGTTATGAGTCTATGAGTACATTTCTTTATCAAATATATCTTGTTATTTCTTAATCTGGTGTTCAAAATCCTACTTCAGATTCAAGGCCATATATGAAGTAACCGAATCTGCTTATGTTTATTTTTTTGTAGTTAGAAATCAATTCTAAAACGTTTGAAAGAAAATAAATATTAATGATATTACCTTTCAACTGAATAATGTCAATTACACAATAATACTCAACTGTCTACCTGCTCAGACCTTGAACATTCGGTTCTAAATGGCGTGGCGTTAATTGAGTGTGGTTTGATACGTTTTAGTATTTGACATGGTTTTCTGAGTTTGTGTACTTTGTCGTATGATCATAAACATCTTTGTGTGTTGGAGTGTGGCCGAGTATGTCTGGGTGTCAATCTTAACCATTTAATTAACAATATCACAATAGTAAACACATTATTGCTGGAACGATTGGTTGCATTACTAACCAATATCTGATTGACATTTTCATACGCTTTCACTTCAAAATTAAAACAATTACCCCCGAACAGTCAAAAATTTAAATGAGTTTTTGGAACTCGTTAGATAAACACATCTATTAAAGCATTTTCATACTTTACTATGCATATTCTGTAATTCTGTAATATAGATGTACAACTTGACTTTTACACTAAGAATAATTAATTTCTCAAAGGGACCTTGTACAACTGTTGTTTTTCCTTTTTGATAATAGAAGAGTGTTTAATGATTAGTAATTTAAATGTTCAAATGTTCTGACGTCCTACAAGAGTATAGAAAACAAGTTTGTATAATAAGGGTCTTATTGTAACGGAATTATTTGACATGATTTCAAATTTATTTAGTTGCCGCTGCATCATGTTGCGTAAAGAGGTACTTTCGTTTTAGGTATATAATGTACAGATCAACGGATACCACAGAATCAAGTCACTGTGACCGAATAGGAGAATGTTTATTTAAGATATCTCTCTGAGAAATGAAAGACATTTTTGTCTGATGAACAACGATTGCTTTTTCAGTTTACTCATTAAGAACAGACTGTTGTTCTATGGCCAGTACCTGGAATTAAAATTTTCCTACGAAGATTTTTTAAATATTGATATTGTCTACATAAAATAAGTAAATTCCAAACATGTCTAGGATTATTTATGCTAAAGGCAACATAACACTTGGAAGCTTTATGCAATTTGGCTTTCACCTAATTACTCTTGCTACGTTGGTAAAAGTTTATAATATTAAAACTATTGTCATCAACAATTGAACCACTTCTCGCTGAACAATTTTTGATATTTTGTATATTTTTTGTGATTAATCATCTGTGTATAACCAATGCATCTCGTTTTGTTCTCCAACGAATACGTTTCATGAACGCAATTGATTTTCATTATGAGAATCGATAACGCAAATGTTTAATTTAAATGATTATGAATTGCTTTTTGTGCATTATTAGAATATAAGTAAAACCAGACAAATACCAGTGCTTTTAGTAGTTATTTTGATCTTGATAAATTTGTTAACAAAACGGGGTAAACTTTTAATTTGCGGTTTATCATGAACGTTTTTGAGGGGTTCACATACTTTTATGTTAAACCGCAAGTTTGAAGTAAACTGTTGTTACGTTAACACAGCAATAACAGTAAGTACTACTTCTAATGTTTTCTTATTAGCCAAACGATTGCATAAACAATATTTCAGTTTTTAATCAACACAACCTTTAAGCGTACTAATCACAGTTGCCCCCCGATTATCACTCTGCACCCATTAAATGACAAAAGAGATGGTGAAATGTAAGTGATGACCTGCGTCAATTTGATTGGTTAAAATCCCTAGATTTGGAATGTTGTATTTTGATCTCGTGCTCCTCTACGAGGTTTACTAGCAATTAACTTCACGAACACTTAGATTTAATTAAAATCGAAAACACCAAATTATTTTAAGCTTTATAAAAAAGAATTTGGGAATGGAGTTCCTAAATATAGCTGTATGAATTTTGCATGTCAATCTTATTACATGAAAGTAGTTTGTAAGCAGTGATGTCGATAACTCAAATCTTTGTTGTTTATTTTTTGGTTCAAAGAGTTTAAAATTTGTTTAAAGTCGAATCTAAAATTGCTTTGTTTCTCGTTTGCGGCGAAATTGTGAAATAAACATCCAACTTCTAACCATTCTGTTATAAAGAGACTTATTTCAAAGTAGAGACAAACGTGGAAAGCTGCTTTTCGGTGTGTTTCTTAGTAATTAGAGTATAAGCATATTAAGTTAGTCATTTACATATTTTGAGCAATACTGATTTGTTTGTTTAATTAATACTGTTACAGCCCACTAATTGGCTACGTTGTAAGTTAATTATTGTATGACATCTGTTAAGTTTTCATGTTGATATCCCAAACGATATTGTTTTGGTTAATAGGGCGAGAGAGATTATTTACCATGAAGTCTATCAAAACCTTTCAGCTTTATCCGTTGTTGAACAGATTTACTTCATATTTTAACGATGAAACTAGTGTGAACATTTATCATTTTGATGTAGCCTTTTTATTGAAAGTTATATTCTGTGACGATTTTTGTATATAACGTTGATCGTTTAAAGGAAAATATGTATGATTGAAAATGTATCTAAATATATTATAAAGAAAGTTCCCGTTACTCTAAGCAACAAGACGAACTATTTCCATTTCGCACCAGGTTTTGCTATGAAGTGTATATGGACGATAAATTCATCAAAACTTTTCTTTGGAATGAATGTGCTTTGTGTTTTAAAGTTAATGATGGTAAATGACATTATGTGCATACGTTACATTTCAGTACGATACCTGACACTGTGCTTCACTCGATCCTTTTGGGTCCTTTTTAAAGTTCGAGAACCTGACATTGTTGTGATAAATTCAATAGATTATATATGAAAACCATTTCTGTAATCATCTGTATACTGGAGTATTGCTAAAGATTCGTTATAATTACCCACACCTCCGTTTGCTCACTTAGGAATTATAAATGATTTAAAAGTACGTTTATAAAAGTCTAATGTAGGTCTCCATTTATTGAAATGGTTGAAATTGAAAAGCTGACTACACTTATAGAGCTTTATGTAGTCAGTTTACATTGATCAATTGTATAATCAAGAAAATATACCAATAATACACACAGTTTATGCCTTGTGAACATGCACTTCATTTATTTGCTTTTTAGATATCAAAATAGTAGAACTCAGGCGCGTGAATAATTTCCAAAAAGGACCATTGTTCAGGTGTGTCCGTCGTTCTTT